ACGGCTCTCACACACCCTCATACACACATACACACATATACACGTATACGTACGTATGTATATGTACATATGTATATATACATATATGTATATTTTATTGTTATGCGGAGTGACAAAAACGATCTCCAGCATATTCAAACGATTAGGGGCTCGGCGCCGGTGATCCTAGAATTTCTACCGCCACGTCGAGACATTGAGTCACAAAGGAGGTCCCGACTCGTTATCGGCCCGCTTTGAGCTATTGCGTCGTCAAAGGACGCAACAGCTCAAAGCGTCTCTGACGCATTTGTTTACCTGCCAAGAGGTCTACGGCTTTATTACCATACAAGGCCGTTCGGTGAAATCACAGGGCATTACCGGAGGGGATAAGGGCGGTTATGGTCATGAGGGATCGGGCGTCGAGCCTTACTCTAGTTCGATACGCGGATCCGAAAGCATCTTCGGCCGAGTGAATTCGGTATCCGACGAGTCGTCTTTTTTAGAAACCATATTCAACGTAAACCATACGAAAACGTGTGTGCTCGAGCTTGGCGCGATTCAAGGCGACGGCCTTAAGCGTGATCGCGCGTCTGTCCGATGCTCGTGGCTCGCGACGGTACTACCCGAAGCGTCGCCTATTATATTAAATAGGCTCAGGGTATTCGTCGCAAGGCGTTGCCACGAAATCGGAAACAGGATATAAACCTGCAAGCGTCAACTAGATCTTCGAGTAACGCGAGGCGAATGCGCGCCGTATATTATTACATATCGTTATCTCCGAGTGCATAGTGAACAATCACTAAAATTAAACAATATCGATATTCATGCTTTTATAAACAAATAAATTACCTTCATATACAGAAAAACAGTGTAGATATTAGATGTTATCTTCCTGACTTACACAACATAGCTCAAGAAAAGAAGTTATCGTGTGAAATCTCGTGATGTTGCGGTTTATATAGAAGATTTTATAAAGAATGGGATGTATCTAAATTAAGTGAATTAAAATTTTGATTAGTGAAATCCTTTGCTCGAAATACAGCTCCAAGTTTCTTTGATACTTATTAGCCAATACTTATCGATTTAATATGCTTTACTCTACTCATATTACGAGTTTTTTTTTATCTTAAGGCGATGCTGGAAGGTCGACAAAATTTGCGCGAGGTGATAAAACAGTCTGTTCAATTTCAGGGGTATCTCTAAATGAACTTCTTACAATATCTTCTGTCTCACTCAAACACGTACATTGTCCTTATTGAAGCGCCATCTCTTGCAAAATCCAACACTTACTGCTAGATGCAATTGTTGCTGTTTTTACCATTCGGTATCTTAGCTAAGCGTACGAATTACTACAAATTGTAATTGAGTGGACATCTTTTTTCTACGTTTTCAATCGTAACTCGAAAGGCTTTGTATCAATCGTTCATGTAATCTGTGCTGTGAGACATAAGCATTTTGTACATATGAGCTACAGAACTTTTATATTAATAAAATGTTTTACGTTAGGTGATAGCTGTACGATCCGAAAAAAATGTAATTTTTAAATTTTTTTTCCTATTTTACTACAAATTCGTCCGTATTATACCATAATTTTATGTCTATTTCAATCCTGTGAAAGGATTTTCAATTCCGTTCAGTCAATTCGGAGAAATTTACTCAATTGCAATATGTTGGTTGCTATATACGGATGTGCGTAGGTATAATAATTGATACACTCGGAGTTTGTTAATAATAAGGAATTCAGGCTGTATTCACTCTTACACATTACAGAGAGGTAGGACTCGCGGCACGTGCTCTGTACGGCTGCTCCTAACGATTCTCGCACTTGCTCCGCTCTGGCGCTGCCTCTGCGACCACGTCGCGTCACTCGCACATCCTCACGCACTCATACCAACATGCCCGAGCGCCCATACACCACAGCTGTTGGTAATTCCGACCTTTTAGCATTGCTTTAAGGCTATTCATTGATGAATGCATTTTGCTTGTATAACAAATTTTATGTATTCTGTCACTTATTAATAATTACAATCTTTTAGTGATCGGCCTTGGTCGGTGGATAGATGCAATTTATCATCTTCAATTTGTGTACCAAAAAAATGTTTCATTTTCTTGAACCTTGTTTCATTTATTTTCTTTTAGTCGACGTTTTCTCTTTTATTAAGTCCCTTGCATCTATCTGTTTTGGTATTTAAATATAATACATATTGTTATTAGTTTTTGAGAGTTCGTGGTCGGGCCAACTTAGCAGGCAATATAAACTTTCTTTATCCGTTTCCTGTTAATAGAATTAAAAAAACCATCGACTCGAGGGATTCCTGTGTTTGCAAACCGATAAAAGAAATATAAATATATATCTTATCGAATCTGATATTCTAATGGAACCTTATAAACACTGTATTTCCGCTTGATCCGCTCTATTAGGTTTTGTTGGTTATCGCTGATTTGCATCAAAAGTCCATACTTCATAGGAACTGTTATACAGGGTGTCCCAAAATAAACTTTTGTCCTTAAAATGTCATATTCCTGACTCAATTCTGAGACGATTCTTCCTTTACCAGATCCGAAGCTTAGTTTTCAAATTATAACGAGAAATAGTTAGCGAATTACGGGCCGCGTATGGATGGTAGACAGGGGCGGCGCAACTTACTGTCTGACGCAGGGCTTTCGCGACGATCAGCTGACTGCTACACGCGCGCATACACATGACATTTTAAGGACATGAGATTACATTCTCTCTTGCACACACACACACACGCACGCACACACAAATTACCTTGTAAAGATTCGATGACTCGTGATGTAGCTTCGTGAGAAAGACGGAATTTCCATTTCGATGGACCACGTACAGCTCCAAATAAACATTTATTTTAATAAATTTTCGTTAGTTTTAATGCAGACTGTGGTGTTTGCACTCAGGAAATACACTTCGATTGTATACGAATAAAAGTATGCTTTATTAACTAACAAAATACATGTGCAGTCTTATACCGGTGGTATCGTTCTCGAATCTTCTCTCTGTGACCGTCCCGTAACCCTTCTCCCAGAGCCCTCTATTTCAAGCTACTCGCGACTCTAACTATGAACAAGGCGCATTCTAAAATATCTAGTGACAAACTAAAACTCTAACTTGATATACTACA